ACTGATATATACAAGCTGAAAATCACAATATTATGATCATCTTGCTTCATAATTTAGAGTTTGAATGGCATAAAACGGGTACAAAAGTGATAATTTTCTATATAATCTTGAAGATTCCATTAAATTTAAGGAGTTGAGGGGGTGGATGTAATTATCCAAACAAGAGGGGTGTTTTTGTAATTCGACCATACCTCAGGGGGTGTTTGTAATTTACCCTACTTTATTTAATTATGAATTAGTCAGTAAACTAGTTCTTCACCCGTGCGTTGCACGGAGGTCAGTTTTAAAATGAGAAAAATAATAATATGTAAACGACTATCTCTTTATAACAACACCAATTCAAGTAAAACAAAATGGAAGGAAATAAAAAAATCATAAACTTTATCTCTTAATTCAGAGTTTTAACATATGAAATTAAATTAAATATTACAACGAAGAAAACGTGAAGCGCGCAAACACGATATGAAGATTAAGTGAAATCACTTAAAACATATGGTATAACTCTATTTCGAGGTGAATGCAACCTACTACACAGTGTCAATCTTTTGCAAAATAACTAACTTAACAACAAACACGGTAGCAGAGAAGTAACACAATAAATATTCAAATAACCTGTAAGTTTATTACTAACCGCGTTTAATTAGTGATGCACATTACTCAAACAACAATACAACTTATAAATATTGCAAAAGAGATAAGATGTATATGCCTTTATTGATACCAATGCTGATATCAATACCGATACCAATATGGATACCAATATTGATATTAATATCGATACTAATACTTATACTAATTAATATCCATACTAATACTGATACTAATTAATATCGATACACATACTAATACCAATACTGATACTAACTAATACTGATACTAATACTGATATCAATACTAATACTAATACTAATACTAATACTAATACTAATATTAATACTAATACTAATATTAATACTAATACTAATACTAATACTAATACTAATACTAATACTAATACTAATACTAATATTAAAGCTAATACTAATACTAATACTAATACTAATACTAATACTAATACTAATAGTCTAATATTAATTCTAATACTAATACTAATACTAATACTAATACTAATACTAATACTAATGCTAATACTAATACTAATTCTAATTCTAATACTAATACTAATACTAATACTAATACTTATACTAATACTAATACTAATACTTATACTAATAACTAATACTAATACTAATACTAATACTTACTGATATTGATACAAATACTGATAGTGATAGTGATAGTGATGCTGATACTGATACTGATATTGATACTGATACTGATGTTAATACTGATAATGATGTTGATAGTCATATTGATACTCATAGTAATATTAATATTAATACTAATACTATTACTAATAATGATACTCATATTAATACATATACTAATATTGTTACTCATACTGATACTCATGCTGATAAAAATAGTAATATTAATACTAATATGAGTATCAATATTAGTATCAATATCAGTATTAGTATCAATATTAGTATTCATATCAGTATAATTAGTATAATATTATTACTAATACTAATACTAATACTAATACTAATACTTACTGATATTGATACTGATACCGATAGTGATAGG